TCCCTCCTTCCTTCCTTCCTTCCTTCCTTTCCTTCTCTACTTTGTCCCACTCTCGGGGGTTCAGGTACTTTCTCTTTTTTTTCTTCCCCCTTTTCTTATCATTTTTGTCTTTTTGCTTTATTCTGTATTGGTTATTTTTGTCTTTGACATATCTGTGTTTTGTAAGATGTCTCAAATGTATATTTTAAGTGAACCTTATCAAAAACAGAAATAACTCATATCTGAAGAAGTTCATTCCTTAGGAGTCTCACAGAGCATATCATCCATCCAAATTTCCCTCTCGTTCCCTCTCTCTTCTGCACACAAAGACTCTTCTCTCAGTTATACTCATGGATTCTCCTACAGCTGTCATAACAAATAACCACAACCTGCTCATTTACAATAACAGAAGTGTATTCTTTCATAGTTCTGGAGGCCAGAAATCCAAAATCAAGTTATTGGAGTGGATTCCTTCCGGAGGCATTGGGGAGTCTCCTTCGGTCTCCCTGCATGCTTCCAGGAGCTGCCATCCATCTTGACATTTCTGGACCGTGGCCACATTCTTTCCATCTCTGACTTCTCTTTTGTGTGTCTTCTCAGGGTCCATCCTAGTCCATGTGCCCTTGTCTCAAGATCTTTACTAAATAAATCTGCAAAGACCTTCTTCCAAATAAGTTAAGAGGTTCCAGAAGATGTAACTTTTCACTCTTTTAAATCTATTTGTAAATTGTGGTAGAACATGTAAACATAATATCTTCTTGTTAGAAAATTTTTAAAATATGGGCTACAGCATTTTTTAAACTATAGGCACACCGCACAGGAGATCTTGAGAACTCACGTTGCATAACTGAAACTTTACACGATTGAAAACAACTTTCCATTTCCTCCTCCCTTTCAAGAACATAAATTTTTGAAGGCATCATTTGAAGCCATTTCCACCAATCTTTTTCATTTGTCATGAAATGACAACATCCATAGTGAGGGCAGATTTTACTTAATTGTTGGTAATCTGTTTAAAAGGCAGGAAACTGTGGTTAGAAAGAGTCAATTGTAGGGGGAGTTTGACCTTGAAATTAACTTATTCTTTTAGAACATAAGACCTTTGTTATATTAATTGCATGTCATATGAGAAAAACACTTTGACTCAACCAGTAAGTTTACTAGTTAAAAATTATCAAAAGCCCCAAAGTGTTTATCCTGTTTTTTTTTTTTTTTTCTCATGAGCAAAGTAACAAGTCAGCATCTTTATAGTGACCAGAGTATGGGTCTATTCTTACAGTGGGAAGCTAAAACTTACCTGGAGGGAAACATACATATACACAGCCCCACCTCAACCCCATTTGTGTTGGAGAGTAAACCCAGGGCCTGGTGCATGCTAAGCCTAAACATTATCACTGGCTAACATCCACAGCTGTATGATGTTTCTTTGTTCTTTTTGTTTTTTTCTGATGCATGTCACTTACCTGGTGACTGACTGGGCCATGAGGCCAACAGCCAGTGAATAAGGTCAGTAATTATTCTTCAAGGACTCTAGTGCACTAAGGCTAGCCAATACTCAAGCGTGGCTCTAGCCTCAATGCAGCTATATAATTTTTTTCTACAAACTGATTTCTATCTAGTAGGAGCGGATAATTTCCTCCTCCTCTCCTCTGCCTCCCCCACCCCACCAGGCTTAGATACCAGGGCACACAGGCACCATATTTTCATCATCCAATGTGACTTTGAGCAACTTACAAAGTAGAGTCAGTACATAGTCATTGAGAGCAATGAATCTGTTCTCTTATTTCTTCCCTTTAGTACACACCAGAGTCTGTTTTAACCTTTCATTACTGTTCATTTAATTAGGAAAAATGACGCTGCATTTCTTTTACAAACACACTATATTTCTCAGCAAATGTAAGAGGTCCTCGGCATACAAGGGTTTGGCTTTGCTTTTCCCTAATCTTTCTTGAACCAAGCAGTGTAAATCCCAATTATTTAATTCATCGAGAAGTTCAAATCACTGTTTTTATGCATAGGACAACATGAGGCTTGCAGATGCTTAGATGAAACTAAATGGATTATTTAAAAGCTGACCTGATAGATTTGGCCAGAATATTCCTACTATTATTTCTATTAGCTTCTGCCGTTTTCTTTTTTAAAATAATTCCAGGGCTTGTAATGAGCTAGAGATCTTGAGTCAATGTCAAATTTCTTACTTTCTCTTGAGCTTCTTGTGTGGTCACCTATAATTGCTATTTAAAGACCCATAGGGCAGGTTTCCAAGTCCGAAATGTATGTCTGCTACAGTTTGACCCTCCAAGGTACTAGAAAAACAAAGCTACGTTTCTTTGTAGAAAAGTCTCTGCTCCAGCATGGTCCCTCGAAACTGTCGAATTTGATCTGTGATTCCCGCTGAGATATGTATTGCATCATGATCTATTTTTGGCTTGTTACATTAATCAAAACCTACCCCATTTATTAAACTGCTTCCTGGAGCTCACACATTTGGAATACTGAGAGCCAGCAAGCAGCTGCCAACCACCATGCAAGAGAGAGGTAGCCACATGCAAGTAATGTACAAATTGAATTTCAGGAGACTGAACAACCGCTTTATCTCTTGGTGATACAACCAAGGAATGGAGTCATGTTCTTAAGGAAATGAAACCTAGAGCACGATTCAGTCACGGGGCAGGTACTGTGGCCTGGCCCAGCAGTGTCTCTGGAACTGCTGATGAGTATGACCTTTGCAAAAATGCACAGATCCTTGATTCCTGCATGGTTAACCTTTGCAAGCAGGAACCCCTCTGTGAAACTTACCCACAGCAGAGGGAGTTACAGAATGAACACAGACACACATTTTATGAAAGAGCAACTACAAGCAGGAACATGCACACACATTCTCAGAGGATAAAGACATTGAGCTCATTTTCAATTATTCTCCTGACTGGGTTTTTTTTTTTTTTTTTTTTTCAAGCATTTACATTTATCTGCCACTGGAGCAGGTAAAGAGTCTTCAGAGCTCTGTTCAGGCTGTCCTTCATAGAAATGGAGATTACATGTGTTCAAGATTTGCTAAGAAACCATTCACTCACCACTAAGTCACTATCTGGTACTTGTTGAGGACAGAGGCGGAATGAAATCGATAGCCTCGATTTCCACTAGCGTCCAAAAGAGGAAAGCTTCTCCAATGTGCCCTTTACCTGAATGCACTGAATATTCACTACAAATCTAGTGAGCTCAGAGATTATCAAGATGCTTCTAGTCATGTTCTTTTTTAATTTTACTGGCTCATATTCACTGTATACAGTGATGGGTTTCATAAAGCATTTAGACTCAACTACATCATGTACTTTGACCATATTCACTCTAGCAATATTCTTTTTATATAATCCTTTGGGTGTATTTGTACTGTTTGTGTGCATATATACTGTATGTCTGTATGTATGTTCATGTCTGTGGTTGTCAGGGCTCCTATGCCATAGCCTGTGTGCAGAAGTGAGCAGACAAAGCCCTTGCGTTCCACCTTGTTTGAGACAGGGTCCCTAGTTCACTACTGCGCATGCCCTGTTGGGCCATGAGCTTTCAGGGATTCTTCTCTCTCTGCCTCCAATCCAGCTGTAGGAGTGCTGGGATTACAGATGTGTGCCACCGGATCCTATTTTACGGGGTTCTGGAGAGCCAAACTCAGGTCCTCATGTGTGTCTCTCTGTAGCCCTAGGTGGCCTAGAACTTGCTTTGTAGACCAGGTTGGCCTTGAACTCAGATCCACCTGCCTCTGCAACCTAGTGCTGGGATTGAAGGCGTGCACCACCACGCCCAGCAGACAGTATGAATTTTTAAGAAAAAATATCTTCCCCTAGCTAGTCTAGTACACTATTGGTATCTAGTTCTACTAGAAAAAAAGATACACAATACTTTTCTCTTGACTGCGTTCTTAGTATATCATCTCAAAAGATTTGCTTAATAAGCCTAAGCTGTCTTTAGGATAGATTCAGGTGTTGTTTGTTATTGGTGAGAAAACTAAAATCCAAAGAAGTTAAAGAGTATGTCAAAGGTCAACATAGCAAAACACCAGTAATCCTGGAAAGTTAACCTCTCTCTCTTCTGTGATCTCTGTGTCCAAAAAGGGACAGGACAACAGGGCTGAGGGGAAAGCTGTGGCCTCTGAAGGCAGTTTGATCTATCTTACAGAATCTCATTCTGAAGCTTCCTGTTTACCATGTTTGCTCAGAATCCTTGTCACCAGTGCAGGAAAGCCCAGATCTCCAACCGCCCTCCTTAGATAGGCACTCGCCTCTTGCCTGTAGTTACTGTCAACTGATCCTATGTGGAGGAGATGGTCTGGAGGAGGAAGGGTGATTTGCAGATACTGAGATTAGAAGTGGGAAATGGGGGAAGGCAGGATATACTACAGAAGATTAAACAAAGAATGAATGGCCTCTAAGGCCATCCATTGATTCCTCTGCTTACCCACCATGGATTAGGCAGAGAAACTATATAGGAAAAGTTAGTGAATCTCGCAAACCTGATTTAGTCTTGGGGTACAAATTTGAGATCTAGCTACAAATAACTCTAAGCGAAGACAGGGTGTGAAGAATTGTATGAGAAATATACAAGGCAAATTAGAATACATAAGCTGGAGGGGTTATTTCTGGCCAAGGCAACAGGGAAGGCTTTGTGTCCATTGATGGGACTGTGATGGATGAGTGGGATTCGCAGAAAGTGCCCATTCTCAGAAGTCAGTCTAAATGCATTATTGTCCCTATGATTCCAGTTTTAGGCCCAAAAGATTTTGGAAGGATGTTTAGGATTCTAGTCATTTTTTATGAAATAAGGAGAAATGCACAAAACTTTGGACATAGTGTTATAAAATTCATAGCTGTGTGCCTAAGTCTTTCTGCATCCAGATTTATATTATCACTCATTTCTATGACTATTCTACAAAAGAGATAGTACAATATCATTTTCCATTTGAGAAAACAAGTTCAGAAAGACAGTCACCTGCTCTTACTAGTGAATGTGAAATTAATACAGAATCTTCAAGCAACAGTAGTGCTGAAGGAAGGATGCTCAGAGAAGCAAGAATAGGCTAAACTCCACTGTTTAGTCAGGTCTGTGAATTTCTAGAATCTTCTGCTGAAAGAAAATATTTTGAGAATGTGAGCTAGGTCAGTGTATTTAACCTCCTTTAAAGCTTTCATGTGTAACAAAATAGTTTGGTGAGTTTAAGGTGATGCTTTTTTTCTTTTCCTCTATTGCCCCCCCCCCCACTTTTGTATTCCATGGGAGGTGGCAGCTGTCAAAAAGAGAGAATGTAGCATAGGCTAAAAGCAAAAAGAAGGAAAGCGATGTGTAAAAGGGGAGGACTGAGGTTGCCTGAATAAGTGATCATTAGGAAAACTGAGGGATTCTTCCTTTTCTGTTTTAATGCCATCAACACTGGCCTGTCTCTTCAGAGGTCCCTAATACCTTTGTGTATTAATTGTTCAGACTTTTGTTTACAGAAGATTACTCTGTAAAAGCTGACATACAGCTTTGGCTGTGCTGTCTTAAATGTGGATCTCTAAGAAATCAGTATGAGCAACTTTCTTTGAGCCTTCATTCAAGTAAAGCAAATGCTTTGTCCTCAGCAGAAAAGTGACTTTAATTAATTCTAGAAGACCTTTCCATTGAGAAGCTAAATATGCCACAGGGTCTTTAGAAAGGTTAGGCTGTACCTTTCCCCTCTTATTGTTCGGAGGCTGACATAAGTCTCCTGCAAGCAGGCCTCCTATATTCTTGACAGTGAGTTTGCTTTTTAGTCAAGGGAGAGCAAACAAACAGGCAAAAAACTCTGTTGGTAGCCAATTAACTTTTCTATTCTAACAAGATCTAAACTGGAATATAGACTCTTCCATCACAATAAAATATGACTAAAGACCTCATCAATACCCATTTAGCAAATGCTTCGGATTAGACCATCTTTTTCTAATAGTTAGGAATTCCATTATTCCTTATTTCCGTGAACATGTTACAAAAAAAAAAAAAAAAAAAAAAAAAAAAAAATTAAGCAAAATGGGATTAGGTTTGCCATTTGTCATTTACTAGGAGTAGAATTCTGGTCTGACATGTGGGCACTCATACCCAGGGCTTAATGCTTTTAGTAATTATGAGGATCATGTAGGGTATGTTGATTGGTGGGAGAAAAAAAATTCTTTATTAACTGCTCAGAAATAGTTAATTCTTCATTAGTCAGAGCCTTACACTAGAGGCTGCTGCCATGAACCGTGGATTAGAGTTTATGATAGTAATAACCTTCCTGGAAAAACATTTGTTACTATACTTAATGACCAGATTTTAGTGCATTAACCTTCCCGGGGAGGTCAACTAACAAAATGGATGTTAACTGCTTGTAACAACCAATTCCTCTGAAATTAATATTTAGATGCCTTTGGTGTCAAAAAACCTTCCTTCCATATCAGGGCATTAAAAACACTTCTGAATTATTAATAGCAGGGAGAATTCAATGCCTGAAAGATTTCCATTCCCGTGCTCTTTAGCCTCAGCCTCTTCCTATTTTCTCCAACAGAGTTCTTTTCTGGAGGAACAAGGAAGGC